CCGGACGTGAAATGACATAACAAATTAATTTAGGTAGTTATTGTTGCCCAATGAGAGACGGATTGACATGGTTCTGGTTTCAGTTACGTTCCCGTTGTGGGCGCTTGTACTTAATCGTTTTCTGACACCCGAGAACGTAACGCAAACGAAATTAGAACATCACGTTACGTTCCCGTTACGTACGCAAATCTTAAACTCTCTAATAGCCAATTTGAATTGTTCTAATTTGCATAATTTATGCATTATCCATACCATTTATGAATATTTATGAATATTTTATTTTTGGTCAAACTTTATAACCACTTGATATCTGGAATATTTGTTGTTATTTAAAATTTGGTACTTTTTGCTTATTGGTGAATTTGGTATATTTAGTTTATATGCATAATATGCTAATTAGGTGTTATTTACATAGAGACATGTGTTTCTTTGAATAAATATTTTTCTTTTGATCCAAAGAACGTGCTTGCCAAGTAGGACATTTTTACCAAAAATTCAGTGCATAAAAATTCACAAGAACCTTGATAATTGACAATTTTCATGTACTAATTAGCATAATTTATTCAAGTAAGGTGGTTATTTGCATAAATACTTGATTTATTTTGCATAATACTTTTCTACTTGCTCCATAGAAAGTTTATACTAAGATAGACATTTGTTTTGGATGAATATATATTTTTTAATATTATTTTGGGAATTTTCTAATTAATTTGCATAAATTATGCAAATTAAGCCTTATTTGCATAGATACAGGGTGTCTCTTTGGATGAAAATTTGTCAATTGTCCCAAGGAACATCTGTGCCAAGTAGCAGCGATCACCCCTTTTTTTGCCCTTAGCAAGTCTATTATAACGTGTCAGTGTTTACAAACAAGCGTCTACTCTTGAGCCTTTTCATTTTTAGCGTGTGTTGTTATCGTCTATTGGGACTGCAACAATATTCATTTCACATACCTATTCTACTTCAGCGCAAAATTATTCACAAGGGTCAATACTAGCAGCCTGTCGGCTGATATAGCTCCGCTGTTTGTGAATGCAATGACTAAAAAGCAATTTAAACTAAATGCTAGCTGTTTTAATCTCGCAAGACACTAACTTTCTTGATTTTGTTGCAGAGAATATTTCACTAAAAGTAGAGAATTGAAGATATCTTTACGAAATGGATAAATCTAATAGAGGTCTACCCAAGCTGCATGTGTACAAGTATCAAAGAATTTGGACTAAAAATATGTTTTTTAATGAAAAATGACGAAAATATTTGCTAAAAATAGAGAATTGAAGATGTTGACAGGAAGTGAACAAATCTGATATAGGTCCACCCAGCATACATATACACCAAGAATCATGGCATTCAGGTCAACAATTTTGAAAAGTCGGAAATATAATTTTTTAGCCAAAAATGACAAACTTATTTGCTGAAAATAGAGAATTCAAGAATGATTACGAAATGAACAAGGCTGACTGAGATCCACCCAAGGTACCTACAAATACATTTACAAAACAATCAGGTTAGAGGTTTTCAACAAGAAGTTGAAAATACCATTTTTACAAAAAATGACACAAATATTCACTAAAATTAGAGGTTTGAAGATATCGTCATGAAATTACCAAATCTGACGAAGATTCACCCAAGGTACCTAGAAATAAAGTTATAAAACAATCGGATTGACAGTTATCAAGAAGAAGTTGCAAATAACGTTTTTGTCCAAAAATTACAAAAATATTCATCAAAATTTTGGGAATTGAAGATGTACATACCAAGTAGCTAGCGGTTTTCAAGAAGAAGTCGAAAGTAGCATTTTTGACCAAAAATGACAAAAAATATTCGCTATAAATAAGGCACTTGAACATATCCACACGAAATGAACAAATCTGAGAGAGAACCACCTAAGGTACCTTCCTAGAAAGTTTCACAGCTATACAGTTTGTTGTTTTTAAGAAGAAGTCGAAAATTTTAAGTTGACGATGGCGACGGTGACGACGAACAATCAGTAATACTATAAGCTCCGCTCGACTTCGTCGACAGCGGGGCTAAAAATGAGATACAGCAATACAATTTTGCGACAGGTCCAATGTTTGGTAATTTTCTAATATTACAATCTATACATAGTGGAAATTCATATTTCTATATGCCAACACATTCACTAAACCACGCAATATAGAATAACCACAGTTTTAATGATCGTACTTACCTTACTGGTATTGACCAGTGTTAGTACAGCGATCATGCAATACAGACTACACATTTTGACTTTTTCCTCAATACTAATTCATTTCTTCTGGAAGTTTTATATACACATAACTTTTTTTATATGCAAATCGGCACGTTTATTAAAATAGTTTGGATGAAATTAGCTGGTAAACATTTATCAAGTGTATTATGACATCAAGTATAATAATATTGTTCAGTAGAATGAAATATACATGCATAATTGTAATATACACAATAATAACCCATGTACCCGTATTCTACGATAAACTAGCCAAACAAAGAACACATGACATGTAAGCAAAAAGTGGTCCCTGGTTATTCGAAAAGAACTGTTGTGCACCGAAGACCCATCAGTCCACTCTATATTTGTTAACTGGGTTTCTCAATATACAGCACTAACGTTAATATATATTACGTGAGTCAATATTTGTCAGTTTAGCATACCTTTGCATTTGTGTGTGTTTATGTTATGTAAAGTTCAAAAACTGAATATATAAGAAAATACTAAATGATATCGAATAAATGGTTGAAGCACAGCACCAAAAAAGAAAGGAGTATACATTTATTTCGGCAAATAACGAAATAATAAATAAATAGACGCCAGTCAAGTTATGTAGTCATGCACATATTTTCACTCGTGAGTTATCAAAAAAGTCATATTGACATCCTGATAGCAGAAAAATGCATATCACACGTACTTATAGGGTACGTTGTGTGCCAGCCAATCGTCATTTTATAGATTAACTATTCTTGATTGGAATAAGAGATATCGATTTGGATATGATGTCATTTCTACTTTACATGTATTTAACTGTAATAAACAGATGGTCGTTTTGATGCCAATGATGTTCGTGTGAGCAATGTGGGTTTAGTGATAACAGACACAATGAAGTAGGACAATGCACACAACGAAATTAGACAGACAGAAATTCAACAGGTGGATTCAAACATTATCACACATTGCACCACTGGATCGTACATATTGATCAGCATGAGTGTTTAATAATGCTTAGACAAACAGGCAGACACACGCTTCTTGGCACCCCTCGTAAAATTATAAAATGTTCATACACAACAAGCAACCATTTATCTACTGTAAATGTAAATTACAATTATTTTACAATAAACACCTTCTGGTGAGTAAGGTGGACGAAGGCGATTCATGAAGATATAACTAAATATTTTGCGCCAGAAATCATTAACTAATTTAAATTGCCTATTATACAAGACACGCTTTTCACCCATGGGGGAAGGAGATAAAACATACACAAAAACAACCAAATTTAAGGGGGGTCGTGGATTGATCAGCGCAAAACTATGCATGCTAATATACAGATGTACAGATATAATGTTCGGTGAATAATACACGTGACAATTGTCAAACCCCTGTGGTAAATTGGATGATGAAACTCGTTTCAATTTGTTGTATCACCCTAGCTGGGAGAGTCAAGAAAGATATTGATATGGACATTCCAAAAGACTGCAACATTATTTAACAACAGTACCCATCACCCCTAGCTTCGCAACTCACAATCGCAATGTCACTATTGAAATACAACGCATTGGAAAAGGTAAAGGTATTGGCCAACAATTCTGCCATAGACATACTAACTTGTACCTTCAATGTGTTTTTTTTCCATGTATTCCACACTATGAACGTGATGACTACACAACCCATCTTCATTATTATTATTGACGTAACTATTTTTTGATAGGGTCATAAGTCATAACTTGAGGAGACGTCAACCATGTGAATCCAAAAATGGTATTTCAGGTTGGTTCACATTAGTTAGAATTTTCTGTGTCCCAATAAACATATTTCAAAGTTATAATTTATATCATATCAAATATGAATTAGCAAATCATAAAAGTATATAGTCTAGGGGAAGATGCTTTTACGCTATCTACAAAATGCAGCCAGTTGTGTTGTCTTGATTGTAATAATACACGATGTAGTTTGAAATGATGTGGTTCTAATCAGAATTCAGTATGGCAATTTCGCAGATGTTTTCAAAACGCATTGTATGTGATTATTGATGTTCTGAATCTTGGGAACTATATTCATTGAATATGTTGGCAGAAGATAAAGTATGAAATGCTGGCAATATTTGTCTTTTAAACATGTAGCTTGTTATCAAAACATACCATCGCTCTTTGTCAAATTGTATTGACTCGGTTCTAGTGTCATGAATTTGTTTTCGCGTATCTGTTGATCGACTTAATTA